CCCCAAAACCCCAAAACCCCAAAACCCCAAAACCCCAAAACCCCAAAATCAACGTCTAAATCACTATAAATCTTACAAAAATAATTTTCTAAAACATGGGAAATGCCTGTTGCTCTGAAGTTGATATGGAAAAAGAAATCAACACGTAAGATATCGCCTAAATTTTAGTCGCCAAATTAAGAATAAGCCTAAAGCTAAGAAAGGACAGAGTCTCAGGACCGTCCAGGTTTCTGAGAGTAATGAAGGTGAGGAAATAGCGGAGGAGAAGAATAGTTCCGGTTTAGACAGTAGTTCTGAAGAAAAATCTAACGCTTACACCCACAGGTCTGATGAGTCATCATCTTCGTCTGTAGAAGAGCTGGAATTTGAAGAATCCTCTGAAGAGCTCGATGTTGAAGACATTGCACTAGATTTCCTCGTAAGTTTTAGGATCTATAGATGACTCTTATAAATCATGATAAATTATTTCAGGAATTTTCATATTTAAAATATAGGATGATGAAGATTGTGAACATACTCAAGAGACTATTGATGAAATTCGGGAAAAAATGGAGGAATTCTCAGAGTACCCCAGGAAGCGATATCCCAAAGAAAAGGCTGTGTACAAAGGTGAGCTACAACAAAACCACATCAGAGAGGGCGAAGGAATTCAAGTCTGGGACAACGGTACCGTCTACATCGGAGAGTGGAAATAAAGATAAGATTAATGGTGAAGGAACCATCTATCATTCTAATGGGGATATCTACTCAGGCGAGTTTGTAAACTCCCTCGCTGATGGTGAAGGCAGGTTCGAAACTCAAGGCAATGATGAAATAGAGGGTCATGTATTTGAAGGAGAATGGAAAAGAGACAAATAAAAGCAAAGGCATAGAGCATATGGACAATGGATGCATTTATGAAGGCGAATACAGAGATGGCTTTCGACATGGACAAGGCACTTATACTTATGAAGATGGCTCTGTGTATACAGGCGGATGGGTTAAGAATTGTATGCATGGAAAAGGAACGTATGAGTTTTCTTCTGGAAAAGTCTATAAAGGGCAATTCTATCAAAATAAAATGCAAGGACAGGGACATCTAACTCTTCCAAATGGGGAATCATATGAAGGTGAGTTCAAAAACAATTTAAAAGATGGAAAAGGAAAATACACTTTCCAAGATGGGGCTTCTTATTACGGAGAGTTTAAAAATAATAAACAACATGGAAAAGGAACGATTACAACCGCATCTGGCAAAAAGAAGTTAGGCCAGTGGGAGAACGGTAAGAGAAAACACTAATCTTCCATACCCTTCGTTATTTCAATTTTGCCTAAAATTATTGGGGTTTTGGGGTTTTGGGGTTTTGGGGTTTTGGGGTTTTGGGGTTTTGGGG